CCCCCCCCCCCCCCCCCCCCCCGAACTTCTCTGCCAACACTTACAAACTATCCCAGGGGAAAAAAACTCAAGTCCAGAGACGATTTCTCATTCCACCCATTGCTTCTAGAATTCTGATGTCAATCAAAAAGTGATTTATGTTCATATATAATGTAATGAGATTTCTTCTGTGATAATTAAACGGTGATGTACGGTGTCATGTGCCCACAAGTCATTGTTCTAAGTCAAATAAGCAAAATATCTATTATAGTAATGAAAGATGAACTACTAGACACACAAAAGAAAATTTGGAAACTTGAAAAATGTAAAAAAATAGAAACAATCGAGTAGAAATTAACCTGAGTCTATTAGATAATAAATTTTATTTGTTCATTTAAAAATATAAAGTTTTATGCTTTAAAAATAATCACTTTTTTCAAAGACCCAGAGTTAATATACTGCTTCTTTTTAAAATGATTTCTGAATAGACAGAAATTGACAACAGTTCAGTTGATTGCACTTATATATGGAAGAGTGGTTTTTTTTAACAAAGGCTAAATAGCAAAAAGAAGTTATGACTTTGAAATTTCCTTTTCTAAATTATATCCAAAAGAAATTATGAAAAACCATATTCAACTGAGTGCAGAAAAAAAGAATCTTTGCTTCAACTATGATCTGAGTCACTGATGTATTAGACATGCACACTTCACACTGGTTCTTTATACACCTGAGGGAGCCAGGTCAGCTGGCCAGCGTCACAGTTCTACAAGGCACCATTGGTTTATGGGCTGTAATGCTAGCATCTGAGCTCTAGAAATACAGAAAAAAATCTGAATATGGCATATAGACCTCTCTTCACTTTCCTCTGAGTGTATATTGGCTAGATATTATAATCACTTTGCTTTAACTTTTTATTCAGGCAGGTCTTGCCTCAACTCTATTGGAAGATTCCCTCATGAAGTCCCAAATGAAAATAGTTCCTTTAGGTACTAGTATGCCTCTACCTCAACTGAGCACAGGTAGGCCTTGGTTAGAATAGATTTATCCATGTTTCCTGTGACGGATATTTTCAAATACATTCTCCCCCCATGTCTTTATGATTGATTTTAAGGTATTAAGAAACATACTTACATCTTCCTACAGTTTCCAAACTTTAATCCCATGACTTCTCTGCTCTCATAGCAACAGAGAGGCCAAATCCTGGTTGAAACATTCCAGTAGTTGAAATAGACCAGGAACCTGGGATAGGACTGCTGTGTCATGGGACACCCTTCCTTAGGTCAAAGCCATTTACTAGAGTTCTGCTTTCAGAGCTGAAATGCAAAACAAAAACTCCCTTCTCCATAAATACTGTCTCAATCTTTCTACAATCACAGAACACGGCCAAGAATTAACATTGACCATTAGAACCTCTTAGAAACTATCTACCATGTTGCTTCCTCTCACTACATCCACACCTCTTCCATTTCTCTAACTGTTAACCTAATGGCACTTCTAACTAGCAGATAAAGAAATGAGGTGCAGTATAGAATGTTCTATCACTGCTTAACAAGTAAGCAGTATGGTCAAGTTATGACCATGAAGGACACTCATACTGTAGACAGTTGTAAAATTCCATTCAGGGGAGACAGAAATGATGACTAATAGAAATTAACAAAAGCATCAGAAATATGCTAGTAAATGTTACTTTAAACAGTCAACTGTTCATTGATAGGTCTTTAACTTTCATAAAAAGCATGATACCTATATTTTGTCCTCTTCGTACTCAGAAATTTTAATACATTCTTTTTTTCTTTTCTATGCATTTACTATCTTCTAAGATGTTTCCTTAATTGTGGTTTTCAAACTTCATTATCAGTGTAACTCTCGGTTCCAATTAAATCTTATGAAGAATCCCAATGAAAAAGTCAGAACAGAACTGCTCTTCCTGGGGGG